TGTTATTTGCCTAGATGTACTTGATTGTGGACCTGGGTAATACAATGACAGTCTTTAAATCAATAAGAGATACTAAGCATATGCAGGTAAGGACAAAAAATAGTAAATGAGTGAACTTTCTGGGTGCAATGAGCAAAAGTCTAGCACATATATTGATTAGTTGAGTCATCATGATTTACTTATTTTCAATTTTGTCAGGCCGGGGTGGGGTGTCTAGAGTGAACGATTCCATATTTCCACATTTTGTCACAATAAATACTAAACATATATTTTTCCTATATTAAAATTCCTCATTGAATGCATGAAGAATGATGACATTTTAAATTATTTTCAATAATTTTTTCTTCTTTATTTTTTATTCAAGTGTTCAAAAGTATAGTAAAGAGAAAAAGTAAAAAAAGTATTTTTTATGCTCGTAATATATTGTGAATTTAAAATAGAGTTTATTATTTTGTATTAAAATGTATTAATAGATTGCACATGGTTGAAATGAGAAAAAAGTAGAAAACAAAAAGAATGAATTCTAGTTTGAAACTCAATGTAGATTACACTAATTAGGGATGGATTTTGATGCGTTACACAAAGAAATTGGACTTTGTTGAGGATACAAATTCCAAGAGAATTTTGAATGAGCAAAAATCGGGAGAGAGTTCAAATTGGGGAAGAAAGGAGGGAGAGAATGGAGTCAAGAAATGTGAGGTGGCGTGGGTCCCAACAAGGCGGTGGATATGGGCCCCGCAACACAATCAGCGGCAGTAATATTTTTTGTGAAGAGTACGACTGTGAGTCGCCGCATGGTCTACCGTCTACGTTTGCCCACTGGATTGTTAATGTGTTATCCTTGGAATTTTTTTTTTTTTAAGTGTAAAATAGATAAATTTAGTATTGTATTCCTAACACATAAAGTATCATAGGGAGACCAACCTACTATCCACTTTTATTCTTTAAATACCATTTTTTAAAAAATAAAGTTTGTGTAAACAACCTTATAATTAAGCACCATACTTACTACATCGTAATAGAGTCAATAGTGATCCCCTATAAACTCTTCATTATCTCTGTTCGATCAAGGTCTTCCAATGACCCTCTAAATTTGTAGTGAAATTTGAACATTCATATTGTCGTTGGAGCAAAACTTTATTAATTTATAGTAATTTGTAACCACTAACGATGTATATTTGTACTATAAACTCATGTGTTGTCTCACTAAAAGAACAACTATAAATTTAATAGTATTTTAAAAAACCAAATTATATGTAATTTTTATAATGAATTTTTTATATCATTTTTATAAGAAGACGCGGTGCATTTTCACCGTTAAAAAATATCTTTAATTTTTATGCACCTGAAAGTGGATGAAAGTAAAGATTTTATGGACAAAAACACCGTTTCTATCCGCTAACGGGGTTCGAAAATTAATCGGTTGGTAATTTTTGTCCACTAAATAAAATTTTAAGGATTGAATTTTTTTGAGTTTATCAAATAATGTACATTCAGTAAACAAATAATTTATTTTTAGTATATTAAAAATGTACATTCATGATCCACACAACTATGTGAACCATGATCCACACAATAATTTGTCCAAATGCCAATATCCCCCCGATACCAAACTCAGCTCACTCAACGGGCCTTTTAGATTTTAAAACACCGAAAATAAAACAGGCCTCTGGATAAAAGGTTGTGGGTTTTGGGTATATTTCTTAGTACAACACAATCTGAATCCTAAAAAGTTCATACTAAATGGGCTGGCCTAAACATCTTTGTCCGGTATGATCGGGTCAAACTTGTTTGGTGAAACGTTTTAAATTCGTTTGGTTTGACTACTTGAGAGAAGGAGACTGCCTAACGCGTCCAAAACTTACAACTCGCAAATTTGAACACTAAATTTATACTGTAATTTTTATTATCATTATTCTTTTTACGATGAGAAGATTCGGAATTATATTTAAAACTGTACACGGAATAAAACTTTATTCATATATAATAATTTTTATAAACCACATTTGAAAGGTTTAAATTTACAATTTATTATAGAAAAAATAGTTAAATTAATCTCTAAGTCAACCGAATAGGGTAATTGGATCCAAAAAACTTCAATCAAATCCCATAAATCTATAAACTTGTACAATTGAGTCTAACTAGATTTTACATGTGTCCTTATTTTTTTAACTTTTTATTTATTTATTAAAAAAAAAAGTTACAGCCACCCGTTATTCTTGCCTGACAACCGATGAACGTATTCTTTTTTTTTTCTTAATAAATAAATAAAAAGTTTAAAAATAATAAAAAAGGACACGTGTCAAACTTGTGAATAATTAACCTGTCAATTTAGACCCAATTCAACTATTTTACTGATTTTGGAGATTTGAATGCATTTTTTTAATATATATTTGGGGATCCAATTGAACTATTGACATAAGGAGTCAATTTGACTACTTTTCCTTTATTATATTTCTATATGATGTCGCAATAATATACGCATTACATTTATATAATATACAAAAGTAATATTTACTAAAAACATCTCTTATTTATTTAAATTGAACTGATAATCTCGACATCTATATAAATATACAATATTTGAATTATATTGTATTATATGGCAAGTCCTATATGAAGATTTCGTTGTCACACTTAAATAATATATACATTGGACTTGAAAACAATAATTTATAATGTGATCGTTATCCCGCCTTCATTGACTAAGTCAGTCAACGCCAACTTATAAAATGGCTAAGCCATTTCCGCTGCTTGGTTGGTTACCACTCAAAATGTCCTGCTATGATTAAATGCCACACTGGACAATAATTCATTATAGGAATTAATGAATTATTGTTTTTTTTTTTCACATTAATTCTATATATTACAAAAGCAACCTCAATTAAATTCGTTAGGTAGTTGACTTCTAATTAGTTAAAATCACAAAATATTCATTATTTAGAGCGCATATTTATATAGCAATTGTAAATTTCTCATAAACTAAAGGATAAATAATATCATCATTATTATTACTTTTTGAAGTAGTATTCGTAAATTGATTTATTATCAAATATCAAATAAATATTGACATAAACATAACATAAATGAAAGAACAAAACATTGCCACTTTTATGAACTATTGGAAAGAGACATGGCAACATGCCACATATACCAGGGTCAATATTCCATTCACATGACTACAATATTCCATCCACAATACATACGGTTACACACAAGTAAATTATCAAAATGATTCTTTAACTATAATGATTTTATCATTTTAGTTCTTGATTTTTTATTTTTATTTTTAAATACTGTTTTTATCTAAAATTTTAAATTAAAGTAGATACAAATTTAATAATTAAATGAAATTAAAAGTAAAAATTTAAAATAATAAATAACTATGGTTGAAAAATCATTTCGATAATTAACTGGTACACACCGACAAAAGGATAAAATTAGAAACAAATAATATATACTAAAAATACTAGTGTAGCTTCCATGGAAGGCATTGAAGCTTTGAGCAGGAACCAGACCATAGAGTCACACACCCTTCTTCTCCGGCGGAGGCAACGCCGTCGCAGCACTTGCAAACCACTCCAAGAGTTGCTAAAATCGACGTGGCAAAGCCTGCAAATGAAATCATGTAACATAAATTCAGATTGGGAGTTGTTTATTGTATGTTTAATACCATAAAGATTGAAAAAGAAGCATGTATTATATATATATATATATACCGGTTTGCTGGGGCATGAAAACAGAAAGTGGTCTGGCATACGCGAAGCTTGAATGATGGAAGGAGAGGTGGATAAGCATAAGCAGAAGAATTAGAAGATAGAGCCTAGAGGAAGAGGGAGAGGAAGAGGAAGCCATGCCTCTTCTCTTCTGCTTAATTAATTAATTAATTTCTCCCAATTCCAACTAGTATGGTAGGTGATGATTTATGTAGTCTTGGAGCATAGGACTTATTGGGAGTGTAGGGGGACTAGTCTACTCCTGTGGAGGTCATTTTTTAATAGATTAAATGGACAACTAGACACAACTAGACAAAGGGTGAAAGAGCCCTACCAAAAAAAAAAAAAAGACAAAGGGTGGAAGAATTGGAGCCCAAAAACAAACTAAGACGGAATAATATAATTAACATAATCAGCTTCTAGAAACATGAATGGATAGATGGAGACATCCCATCTTTGAAATGGCTAATTTCAATATGGTAGATTAGACTAGTTGGTAAATAAACGGTTAATACAATTACAATTTTTACATGTGTGTAAATTCTAGAGAAAAGGTATACTATTTGATGGATACCTCCGAATAGAGTATTTAATTAGGATTGTACTTTGGCAGTCGGAGATTTACAGTTGTGTTGACTTGCCGTTTGAACTATCGGTGGCCGTAAAACCAACCCTATTCAAACTGAATTATACGGATTAGTTTCACAATATATATAATAGAAATATCGAATGTTCTTGACTAATAATCCTGGGATTGCAAAGTGAAATTGTGTTGACTTTTAAGTGTATGCCGTAAACAGTCCTTATATCGTGCCCATGGTGCACAATGCATTGTGCATCCCACTCTACCCAAAACGACGTCGTGGTATACTGTCTAAAAAAAATTTACTGTTTCGAATACACATAAACTCATAATAGAATATACAGAAACTCTTAACTGAATATACAGAAACTCTTAACTGAAACACAAAAACTCATAACACAAAACATAGAAACTTTTAACTGAATACACATAATGGAATTTGGACCGTTTGGACGGACAAAGTGACGTTAGCCATTGAAACGCACATGTTTTGTGCCTGAACGCACATTGCTCTGTGCGTCGTGGTGCACGATATAAATTGCCTGCCGTAAATGAGATTTGAATTTTTAGATGTTAATCAAGATATGGAATTTAGTTCAGACTTCACAAGAATCACAACAATCCACAGCATTAGGCATGTCAAAATTGGGCTGGCAAAAAATGTACGTATATATTAACAACAATCCATTGTATCATATAGTATTTGATATCGGGTTGCGCAACCCGATATCGAAGGCCCATGCCATTGACGCCACAAATTCATGTTCCCACTCTCCTCATCTTCAACATCCCATCAGCAATCAAATTTCTGGTTTTTTTGAGAAAGAAAATGGCGGTCCTTCAGTCATCTTTCGCCATGAAACCAATCCAACAATCCCTTTCATCATCCGTATCTCTTTCTTCTCCTGCAAGCCTATTCCTCGACACCAAATTCTCCCAACTCAGGCTGTCCCCAGCAACCACCGCCAATGTTCCCTTCAAAACGACGACGATTCGGATGGGTGGAGGCCCCAGGACCTATCCAGGAGGGGTTTCCAAGTGGCAGTGGAAGCGTATGCAAATGAAGAAGTCCAAGCAGCTCCTTAAAGCCCGGCTGGCCCGTGAACGCCAGATATACGAGATGCGCAAACGTACCGAGCTCAAAGCCGCCATCTCCGAGCTCGAGAGGCCATGGGAAATGGTTGAGAAGGCACCCACTTTGTTCTCCGTCAGCGCCGATGAACAACTGAAGGTATTGGCTGACCGGTTCCAGAGGCCGGGAGGGTTTGATATGTGGTCCGAGAAAGACGGACCCGAATTGCTCAAATCCGAAGCTGATCTCCCCTCAGCTAGGTTTTTCCCCAAAGGTGTTGTTCATAGCATTAAACCCTATGGAAAAGTTGAGAATATCAGTGATGGGTTTGATGATGAGAATGAAGATAATAGGACATTAGGAAGGAACAAATCCAGCTTCGAATGGGACACGGTCAAGACTAATTCTTTGAACAGGAGGGAAAGAAATGTTACTCATTCAGGTGAGCAGAATTCGAAGGGAATGCCTTACAACAATAAAAATGATAAGGTTATGAAGAATAATTTCAGGAAAGGGAACCGGAGGAAGTATAACACTAACTTGGAGAGATTGAGTTCTGATAAAGTTAATAGTGCAAACGAATTTAGAAGACAAAATGGGAAAACAAAATATAATCATTCCAAATCAGCAGTGTTTGATATGAGTCTGCAGAGTGATGGAAGTTATGAGTTTCAAACAGAGAATTGAGCATGTAAATTAAGTTTTAGATGGCTGAAAATGTTGTTGAAAGTGAATTAAGGGAGTCCTGGTTGTTGAAGAATCTGCATTATGCTAGTTTTATTGAACTGAGGTTAGAAGTAATGCAGCTTTATTTGGATTGTGCACCAACCAAGCAAGATGGCAATGTTTAGAAAATATGAGGTACAGATCATCTTTGCTCCTGTAGTACTTTGTACATTACTTTTGCTTATTGACCTGTGAAATATGTATTTTAGACTAATGAGAATTATAGTTGGTATTTAATATGGTTAAGTGTCTGATACTTATCTACATTTATTTTTGGTGGCAATGAGTTTTGATGACTGTTTTTTCTGTTCCTTTCTACTCTAATCATTTATTAGGGAAAATTTTTATCAGTAAAAAATGCAGCATAAGTGCATAACTGAAGACAAAATAGATTTTCAATTTGATTGAGGAAAACTTTTGCAGCTTTGCGATTCTTATAGTGTATTGTGGGATAGAAAAACTGGTTAACCCATGAGTTCATGAGCACATTGCAGCTGTGCACTTGGTCACCATTTACGTCTCTTCTTCTGGTGTTGCTTCCCAGGTTTTGGTCACCACTGGTTTCATTTCTTCTTTTCCTTTGTGGGTTGGCTCTTCTGTCTTGGTGTGATGTGATTAAGGATCAGGGTGGTGCTGCCTAAGTTTTCTTATCAATATGTGACAAGTCTTGAGACTCGCTGAAGGTTGGTAGGGGCCTGCCTTTTTCCCTCGGGTATGGGCTCTCTCAGTTTGGTGGAAGCCTGCCTTGCCTTTTCCTTTTGTCCTGTGGATTCTTTGTTCTTGGCTTCATTTTCTTAGCGCATGCATAATGCATTTCTCTTCATTCCTTTTCATGTGACTAGCCTTCCCAATCAACTTCTTTCTTTTCATTCCTTTCACAGTTTTGGTTTTAAGAATTGTTCCCTTTTCCAGCCATTGCTGCTGGTTCAACTTCCCAGGTATTCTTTGCCACTAGTTTTTCATTTCTCAGTGGTCTCTTTGCTTTACTTTGTTTCCTGGTGTCTGGTTCTGCTGTGCACCCGGTGGTCAGGCAGTTGCCAATTTTATACCATTTGAACTTTCAAGTTTCTTTTCCTGGTACTTTATTTGTTCGGGAGCATTTAATTTCCATGTTAAGTTATATATGCAATGGCCTCCATGAGAGTTCTCTTTCCTTTTCTTTTTTTTTTTTTTTCCTAAAAAAGGTTGTGTATTATATTCAGTTGACATGGGATTTGTTTTTCAAATTTCCATGCGCACAAGAATCAGGTGCTTCTAGTTTGCTTTATGCCATTTTTGGTTTTTATAGTTGAAAGTGATAGCTCTATGAAACTGGGATAGCATTTGTTTCTATCATATCATGCCTGTATTATGATGATTGATGAGATCACGTAAATCAGTAAATGTAACCCCACATGAAATTAGGGTGGAAATGCTGTGAGGATTAAAAAGAATGTGATATTTGATGTTTTCATATCAGTCTGCTAGTTCTCCAATAAATGATGTTTACATAAAAAGGCCACCACATTGCAAGTACCCTCTTTTAATGGTGACTTGAAGTAATGCACAAATAAATATGTAGAAGAATTCCCTCTGTTTGAATCTAATTGGATTTGTTAGGTGTTCAGTTTTTTCCTTCAAAACACATAAAATGGGAGGGCTATGGTTGCCGAGTAAATTTCACCTACAACTGTGGTCATTCCTTGCTGATTTTGTTCGTTGTGCAGCATCCTTAAAGAGGAACATTTATGCATATCTTAGCTGCTGGGTGCTCTTAGGGGTGGCATGAGTTTAATCAAAAAAACAAAAGATGAATGGGGTTGCACCATAAAAACAAAAGAAGTAACATCTTGCCTTCAACCTCCATTTTTCTTGGTGTTTTGTGCTGTTTCAAATGCAGGCTCTTGTGATTGCATTTACTCTTGCTTCTGCCGATGGCCTTTGCTCCTCAAAGGTGCTCATCTTGTTCTCTCGTCTCATTTCTCTTTTGCTTTGTTCTGAGTAGGCTCTAACTATAGAAGACGTCTTTAATCCTAATTTGTACTTGGCTGGCCCAATTAAGGGGCAAAATGCTTGCTATGTTGGTTTTTCCATACGAAAAGATGTTTTGAACTCCCGACATCTCTTAAAAGATGAGAGTGCACGACCAATCATGCCAACCAAGCTGGTTATGTTTCTTGGTTCTTGGCTTGGCCTCTACTTTGCCTTTAAGCGGAGTTGATGAACCTTAGTGCTACTTTTCCTTGGAATGGATTGGATGCTGAGCTTTTCTTTTTCAAGAGTGAGATATTTTTACAACTTTACTTTTTAGACAGTGGGTTGTCTTTCTAATCCTTGCATTCATGGATTTCAGTGGGGATATGTTAGTTAATGTGCTTGAAAATGATCGTGCCTCCATTCCTGTCTGGAATGATTTGCTCGTAGGGTTTAGAAGGCCACAGCAAATTAGCAATGATCTGTAATCAACATGCCTGTTCAATCATCGATTAGGATGTTGAACCGACCTCCATTATCAATACTCCATTCATATCATACCCAACTCATAATACGATGACATCGCACTGAAAGTTGCACTTTCTAAAAACTCTGTTATAATTCAGTATAGAAAATTCGCAACTAATTCTAGTTAAGTGTTCAAATAACTCGGTTAATCATTATTTGATATCAATTAAAAACTAATAAAATTTTGAGATCATTTAACTGTCCAATTAACTGGGTTAATCATTATTTTCATTAGGGAGAAGTGTCAAATAGGCCTATGTACTTTTGTCAAGTGCTCAATTCCCACCATGAACTAAATTAAAGGCTAATTAAGCACATTTACCTACTAAATTTGTTCAATTAACATTTTTTGCAGGTAATTGACTTTTTTTTTTGCAGGTTACCAATTTAATTATTAAAAAAATAATTTTAAAATAATTTAAAAATTATTTAAAAAAAAATACAGCCACCGGCTGTCCTGCGAGGACAGCCGGTGGTTGTATTATTTTATTTTATTTTATTTTATTTATTTTAATAATTAAATAGGTAACCTGTAAAAAAAGTCAATTGAACAATTTTAACTCGTTGATGGACCTATTTGACACTTAATTTAGTTCGTGGTGAAAATTGAGTACTTCGCAATAGTAGATGTACCTATTTGACACTTGGGGCCTTTTCATTATCAATTTAAAAATAATACTCCGTAAAAATTTTGAGACGATTCGATTGGATAAATCCTTCCACTTTTTGATGGGACTTACGTTACCGTTATGTAAATTTCTAAATAATGATGATAACAATGCCGTAACGTTTTGTCATTTGCATCAGCATAACTATAATTTTTTCTCCAAGTCCCAATAATTGAAAATTTTGCCCGTTATATCGAATAAACGACATCCCATATTCCCATTTGGTGAAGACTCATTTTCAAAGTCTCTCAACTCCCAGTCTAGTCTGTTCAGTTAGCTTTCTTTGCCATGGCTCTTACGAACCTTCTTCTCTTTCTTCTTATCCATTCCACTGTAAACCCCGCACGCGCCGCCCTGCCCGGAACGTGGGAACTTCTGGTGCCCAATGCCGGCATAGCTTCCATGCACACAGCCGTCACCCGCTTCAACACAGTCGTGCTCCTCGACCGCACAAACATCGGTCCTTCCCGGATACGCCTCCCGGCTCACCACTGTCGCAATGACAAAAACGACCCCGTTTTGAAGACTGACTGTTATGCTCACTCTGTTCTCCTCGATCTTCACACCAACTCCCTCCGCCCGCTCACCGTCCTCACCGACACCTGGTGCTCCTCCGGCCAGTTCCTCCCCGACGGTTCCCTCATCCAAACCGGCGGCGACCTCGACGGCTTCCGCAAATTCCGCAAGTTCGTTCCTTGTAACTCGTCTTCCCTCTGTGACTGGCAAGAGCTTGAGGACGTTCAGCTCTCTCAAGGCCGGTGGTACGCCACCAATCAAATATTACCCGACGGTTCTGTAATTATCGTCGGCGGCAGAACCGCCCAGAGCGTGGAGTTCTTTCCGCCTAGAAAAGGCGGCGCCGTACATTTTCCTTTTCTCGGTGAAGTCGAAGACAGGCAATTGGACAATCTGTATCCTTACGTTCACTTGTTGCCTAACGGCCATCTTTTCATCTTCGCTAATAATAGGGCCGTTATGTACGATTATAAGGTGAATTCAGTAGTGAAACAGTTTCCGGTGCTCGACGGCGGCCCTCGGAACTACCCGTCGGCTGGATCGTCGGTGATGCTGGCCCTAACAGGGGACTATTCCTCTGCCACTGTAGTCGTATGTGGCGGAGCGCAATTCGGAGCTTATTTACAGAGAATTACGGATAGTCCGGCGGTTGGGAGCTGCGGCCGGATTGAGGCCACCGGTTCCGACCCGGTTTGGGAGATGGAGGATATGCCGTTCGGAAGGATCATGGGAGATATGGTGATGCTTCCCACCGGAGAAGTTCTGGTCATCAATGGAGCTCAGGCCGGGACTCAAGGTTTCGAAATGGCATCCAACCCGTGTTTATACCCGGTTCTTTATAGACCTAGCGAACCGGCGGGGCTCCGGTTTATGACTTTGAATCCGGGTACGGTGCCCCGGATGTATCATTCCACTGCCAATTTGTTGCCGGACGGTAGGGTTTTACTGGCCGGAAGTAATCCGCATTACTTCTACAAATACAGAGGCCCATTCCCAACACAGCTGTCGATCGAAGCGTTTTCGCCGGAGTACTTGTCGGCTGACAGGGCTAACATTCGGCCTGTTCTAGTAGAGTTGCCGGAGAAGGTTGGGTACCGGCAGGCTTTCGAGGCGGCGATCACGGTGGAACTGCCGGTAGTCGGGGTGGTAGAGGTGAATTTCGCCAGCGCCCCATTCTCCACCCACTCGTTTTCTCAAGGCCAGAGGCTGGTAAAGCTACCGGTGACGAGTGCTATCCCTGATGGCACCGGGAAATACCGTATAGGTTGTACCGCGCCGCCGAATGCGATGGTGGCGCCGCCGGGTTATTACATGGTTTTCGCTGTAAACCAAGGGGTGCCGAGCGTGGCACGGTGGGTCCAACTAAGTGCTTAAATATGTCTTTTAAATTATTCTGCTTTTCTCTTTTGGCTATTCTTTTAGCCTTTTAGATAAGTCCAGCATTATTTTAATTTAAAATTTAATAAGTAAATAAAGTGAAGGAAATTTCAATTTTTTTTTTTTTTATATAACATTGTAAAATAGTATTTTAGCAATGTTAATAATATTTGTTTGGGCCCGTATTGTTTATTTAATTTATTAAAAAAATCGTTATATTATCAATATCCTATAATTTACACATTTTGAATAAAGTCTACCTTATAGCTCTGGTAAAGAAATAATTTATCTAAATTATCTATGACTATTCAGTTGATAGTTAAATTTGGAACCTCACAAATTTAATTGCTTGATTAAGTTAGGTGGATTCTCCTAAAAGTTGTAAATATTCTTATCTTTGTGAAAAGGAGGGGCATGCATTATCTTTAAGATTAAGCACCAATGATGTCGCATGCATAGAATCTTTTTGATTCTTCTTGTCTTGTTTTTTCGCATTGTGCAAAATACACCTGGACACTATGAGTATATGACACGTCATGTAAATTAGTTAATTAGTAATGATCATTATAATAATAGGCCACAATTATATGTTCACGGGAATTCACAAAGTCATTTTCATTACATTTAGCATGATGTAATATGTGACGTCCCCAATAATACTGCTATATTAATCATGTCACGTTCAACATCTTAGCAACGTTAATGAATTGTTAGTACCAATTGGGCATGTGTCCAAGCCCTAAAGTACAAGTCTCTTACGGGATTGGAACACCGGTGTAATGGTACAAGCAGAGAAAACTGTTCCTCGCCTTTAATCTTGCCCACCCACGTGTCTAATCTAGGATCGCACCAAGTGTCTTAGCCCAAGCTCCATGCCACCAACCGCCCCTAGCACCCCTTCTCACATACCACTTATTGCTGGCCGTTATCAGCTACGCCCTGATCGGGTTGTGCCCCCCGTGGGGCGGCTATGTGCTGGCCCTAGCTCCACCCCCTCACCGGTGCCCCTCTCTCTTAGCTAATAAATATGTTTATAGCCTCAACATAAATAAGGGGATAAAATAAATTAGATGGAGTAAAGGGTAGCTATTTTGTTGTTGTTGTTCACTTGTTAGTCAGTGGTTCAAGTTCTAATAGTTGTGCTTCTTTTCTTTTTGCTCCCCCCACCCCCGCCTCCCTTAGCTTAGACTGTTTACTACTTCAACTTGTACAACGAATAAGATAGCCTAGTTGATTGTTACCCACGGAGTTTGAGTCCTAGTTCCAATAGTTGTGCCTATTTTTCGCTTGTTTCAACTTAACTTGAACCATACAATCTTTTAGGCCCGATATTTACCCTTGACTTTAGGTCGAGTAGTTATGCTGTGCATGGTGCACACGGTTGCAAAACGACGTCGTTTTGATTAAAAACGCGTGTTTCATTTTTTTTTTTTAAAAAAATTCAGTTTCGATTCCCCTCAAACATCATTACTGTGGATATATAGTTATGAATTTATGGATATATAATTCAAATTATGCACAAAAAATGTTATTGCCGGGAATCGAAACTGAATTTTTTTTTTAAAAAAAAGTGGGACGCGCGTTTTTAGTCAAAACGACGTCGTTTTTGCAACCGTGTGCTCCATACATGGCACACACGGTTGCACATCATAATTTGCGCTTTAGGTCCTGAAATACCAATCGTTATACCGTGCACCAGGGCGCACATAGCACTGTGCGCCCCCGCGCCTACCAAAACGACGTCGTTTTGGTATGTTATGTAGGGAGTTGACTTGATTATGTGTATTTTTTTATATAATTATGCACATCCGAAACAGGAAATTTATGTGTATTATGTTAAAAGTTGATGTTTATTATGTTAAAAGTTTATGTATATTACGTATTATGTTAGATTATATGTATTATCTTTTTTTTTTTTTTTTTAAAAGTATGTGTATTTTGTTATACAATTATGTACATTCATGTATATAATTATGTGTATTCTAATATAAAATTATGTACATTTTCAAACATAATTTTTTTTTAAAAGAAAATTAACCGTCAACACAGAATAACGAAATCTATATATATATATATATATATATATATATATATATATATATATATATATATATATATATATAAAAGTAAAATCCTCCAAACCAATTTTCCCCCCAAAACTTAGGGTCATTTATGTGAATTCATATATATTCTGTTTATGGAAATAATAATTATAGATATAAAAAAATAAATATATTCATTTATATATACATGTGATATTATACATATATATTAGATGTATATATTGGTATTAATAATATATAAATTAGGTAGTAAAATAATAATTAAATATAGTAAATATTCCATGTGATATATATAGACATTATATACATTATACAATTAATATTTAATTTAATCTATATATACTAATAATAATAATAATTTTATTACCTTACTTACTTTACTTTTTATATTTTTTAAATAAATTATTATACTTTCCTTTCTAATTACTATTTTCACCTATAAATACAAATTTATAGACTTTGGCATTCATTCATCTTCCCTCACACTACTGGTTGTTCATGATTTTCAATATATTCCTACGTTTTCTTCAATCCTAGCAAAACTCATTCACTTAATCTCTACTTCAGGTAATTGTTTCTACTCTCCAAATTCTTTTGTTTAAATCTAAGTTTGTTGAGATTGATGATGATGATCAATGAATAATATGCTTCGCTTATTATTATTATTCGATTTATTTGATTCACAGGTTTCTTATCAAGGTGGTTAAGATGCTATTGAGGTTGATAGAAAGTTTGCATTTGAAGGTAAGATTTTATATTCACCAAAATTATTATTTTCCCCGAGTATTGTATGTATTGATATTATATGATATATGTTATTCATGTGAACACAAGTAAATTTATCGATAAATGGTAATATTGTGAGTGGTGATTCTCGAAATATCGAAGTATTGTATTAATACTGGATTATGGACTATAATTATATTTTGGACAAATCATATGGAGAAAATTGTATTTTTTTTTTGAAAAATGTATTTGGAGAAAATTACATATTCTGGAGAAAATTGTATTTTGTGGAGAAAGTATTTATTTGTGGAGAAATAATGAAATTTTGAGAAAATAATATATTGTGTGGTGTCCAAGTAAGAGTAAGTACTATTTACTACTCATTGGGCTTGGAATCACATGAGAGTGTATCACATAAGTTATGATTCAGTTTCCAAATTGTTTGAGTGGTAGTAGGTAGGAAAACCTAACTACTTTGATCATATATTGGGCTTGGAATCACATGAGAGTGTATCACATAAGTTATGATTCAGTTTCCAAATTGTTTGAGTGGTAGTAGGTAGGAAAACCTAACTACTTTGATCATATATTACCCAGTGGCTTGAAATCTACTGGGTGTGCACATAGGTTTTAGTCCAGTTTCAAAGTGGATTTCAAAAAATTTGGTTACTTCTCCATAAATAACTATTTATTCTCCATACAAGAAAATGTATAACTCCACATGTATTTTAGAAAAGTATGAAATTATATGAGTTTTGAAAATATAAAAAATTCAAACCATTATTTTACGGGGTGAAGTGAAACTTACTTAGCTTATGCTCATTTTTGTCTACATTCTGTTTTTGTGTAAAATTATTTATGCAGGTGAACATAGATACGAATTCGGGATGAACAAGTTGAGAAGGAATAAAGTTTAATTATTTGTTATTTTGAGGAAAATATTGTTGTACAGTAATTTCAGTTTTAATTACTAAGTTGATTTTGAGATATTATTTTATGTTGTAAATTTAGCATAATTACCATAAATAATGTTTAATAATTGACAAATTCTATTAGATAATAAAAATTAACATTATAAAATCTTTTGTACTATGGATACATTATTTTTAATTATTTTGGTTTAATAATATTATATCTTATTTATAAAAAATCAAAGTAATACTTTTATTACTATTGAATATTGATTGACTAAAAATAATCTTAATTATTATTAATGCAATTAATAGGTATTTAGCTTTAAAAAGTCTTCAAATATATGAATTATACAACCATAGAATCAATTAGTAGGACAATTATATTAGGTAATCTAATTAATAATTTACTTTTTAAATTATATCTCCTTTTCAATAATGAATATAAGATTTATTCCGTGGAAATATTTATGACAATTTTATTAAATTATAATTAATAAAATATAAAATATAATTAAGAAAATAAAATTATAAAATTAACAAAACATGAATATTTATAATTTTTTAAAAATATACATACATACACTTTTTTTTTAGATAAATACATACATACACTTATGCACTATACTAATAATAATACAAAATTTAAATATTTCTTTTTTAAAAAAAAATTCTAAATGTAATTTTTAATTATAAATCGATGAGTGCACATAATAGTGTTTATTTCAGTGTATTTTAGAGAATAAGGTTACAGGCTTTATATACACAAAGAATAGCTAAATGATAGGAAACTAACATAGAATTATTCTAACAATCACAATAATGCTAACCGCTCAATAAAATCTATGAATATAAATTATAATTAATGAAATTATATTATATAATTTCCTATATACATATTAATAAATATTATGTGTATATACAATCTATTATATAATCATATAAGGAAATGCATCTGATTAGAGTTTAAGTTTACTCATACAAAATTTAAAATTTCATTTTTTTTATTGATTTCTAAGTATATATAATTTTGTTAGTTAGTATTCATATTTTTAGAATTATAATATATATGAAATATAATTAGGAATAAATCAACTTAATTATGTGAATATTTTCTATAAATTTATCTAAATATGTATTTGATTAGAGATTCTATTAACCATACAAAATTTAAATTTTGTATGTTATGAAAATAGATACTTGTCAAATATGTAAAAGTCTAACTATATTATTATATTGTACAGTTTAACGTCTTTTCATCATTTTTGTCTATTTTCAATTTTAAATTCTTAATAACAAAAATTTTTCGTGCAACGAACGAGTAAAACACTATATTTTTAAAAAATACAATTGGATAAATGTCATAAATTGGTACAAAGTCATTTCTGTTTATAATAATTAAAGAAAAAAATAAATA